TTGTGCATTTTTTTTTTTTTTTTTTTTTTTTTTTTTTTTTTGAAATGATACTTTGTTAATTTTCCAAAAATGTTTGATATTTTTTTGTAAAGTGAAAATGTTTGAAAATTGATAGGCAGTAGGTCCACATCCCCTTTGAGAAATTATGATTGAGGGTTCTTTTTAAAGTCTACTAATTGAAAAGCCCCTAATTCTCAAATTAAAAATACCTATTTTAAAAAAATTATATTTTCATAAATAAATTATTAATTCAAAATAAATCATTATTTGATCTTAGTAAATTATATATTTACTAATCTTATTAAATTTATCAATTTTCCATCACTTAAACTATTAGTTCTGAAACTTTTTTTGATGGTAATTAGTTCTGAAACTTGAGAAACTTTTCAAAAACGAATATTTTTGAAATCAACAGAAACAAAAACATTTACGAAAAATATGCTTAAATAAACTATTATTGTACAAATTCCTATTTAGAATTTATTAAACTCCACTAATAGATTGCAAATTTGCAATACCGCATGCGTTAAAAATTCTAATCAATATCCTCTACTTTAATAATATTATTAATATTATTACTAGTACCACTATTATTATTATTATTATTATTATTATTATTATTAACATCATCCACTTTTATTAAAAATCTTCGTTACACGTGGTCGGAAATTATTGGCACCACGTGACCAGAAACACTTTTACTCTGCATAGACAGGTGAAATTAGATAAACGAGTTCCAGACAGCGATAAAGAAACTACAAACAAAGCAGGACTTCCACCCCACGCGGAGGCGCGTGGACCACCTCAGTTCTCACGTGCGCGTTGAACTCGGCTTCGCAGCCACTCCTCCATATCGCCAAATACCATGTCGACGCTCTCCTTCGGCTCGCCGACGAGCTGGTGCCACATCCCGTCGTGGATCCGGATCGTCTTGTCCTTGCTAGAGGCGCGGCGGTGGAGCTCCTCCACGCAGGCCGGGTCGCAAACGATGTCGTCGCCGCCGTGGACAATCAGCATCGGCACCTCCACCTCCTCGAACCTCTCCTGCAGCTCCCTGCAAACCCTAAGCAGCTCCAGCGCCGTCGCCGCCCTCGGCCTCGCCACCTTCCGTCGCGGACTCGCTATCGCCAAACGCCGCTTCCACTCCTCCTTAAATGAAACCTCCGGAAGCGAGCCGCGCGTGGGGACCACACGCCACGTCGGGATGACGGCGGCGACCAGGAATAGTAGGTGCTCAAGCGGCCACGGCGGCTTGAACTTGGCGCTGATCCCGCACATGGCGCCGTTGAGGACGACGCCGTTCCAGATCTGGCCGCGCCGGAGAGTGATCAGAAGCGCGATCGCGCCGCCGAGGGACTCGGCGTACAGAAACGCCGGGAGAGAGGACGAGAACCGCGATCGGAACTCGTCGAAGAAGGAGACGCAGTCGTCGATGACCGGATTGATGTCGGGGATGTGAGCGATGAGGCCGTCGGAGAAGCCGTGGCCCTGGTGGTCGATGGCGCAGACAGCGAAACCGGCCTCAGCGAAGAAGATAGAGGTGAGCTGGACCAGCCAGCTGGACTCGCCGGTGAAGCCATGGACAACGGCGACGATCCCGAGGATTTCTTTCGGAGGGAGCGGGGTCCACCACTGGGTGAAGAGTTTGAGGCCCCTAGGGTTTGTGATGTAGGCGGAGGAGTGAGCGACGGAATGGCGGGCGCAGAACTCTTCTGGCGTGGAAGAGCCGAAGGGGCTCTGGTCGTTGGCCTCCGCCACCGGGTGAGGGTGATGGTTGTGCGCCATTTCTGGAAGTTCCCGGCGAGAAAAGAAGAAAAGAGAAGTTAAATAGAGGAAGTGTAAATGGGAGGTGAATGAGGAAAAGGGTAGTGTTTTGGAAAAGGGAAGGTGGGGGTGAATTAATGAATGAGCGTTGCATCGGCTCGCTCTGCAATGGGGTTCTTGACAGTTATCTGCTGCTATAAATGATGCATAAAGTGAATGATCGAGTATGCTAGATATTTCGTACATACTGTTTTTTTATTTATTTATTTATTTCCTAGGTGGGCCACCAACTTATGGAAACTTACGTGGTCCTCCGTTCTTTTTAACTACCGATGGTTATAGTTTTTCCTATGTACTTTCTCTTATAAATACTCTAATTTAAATTTAACGTCATGTGCGACAACGTCTTCTTTCACATAAAATCTTTTACTTTTTAACTCGTTTTGAAACTCAAACCAACGACTTGTTCGACTACGACTTCATGAATTTTATTTTTCACAGTTGATGGTAGTAAGTAGGAATTATATGTTTCGAAAGGCTTCTTTTTCGGTGCATCCCCTAATTATAACCTACCAATAGAGTAAATATTTTTACCGTTAGATAATTTTCAACGATCAGACCTACAACATGAAATTTTAATATGAATTTATATAAATTTAACTGTTAAAAAATTAATCTAATAATTAAAAATACACCGTGAAAATTTTCGTTTTGAAAATAAATAAAAGATTGTAAAAGTTTCATTCTCGAGCTATAAGCTAAATGACCTTAAGAAAACTAAACCGAATATCTCATTAATAATGTGCAATGGGTAAATTCGTCACGGTAAAAATCGAGCCTAGAAATCTGCTAGAAAATATCCGAATTTAACAAGGTTGAATTAAGATATCAAAACGTGAATATATCTAAAGTAAAGGGTCTTATAATCGGTGAAGCTCAAGGAATTCTACAGTGCATATTCCACGGTGCATTTTGCTCAGGTCTGTTTTCTTTTACCTTATTCAACTCGTAACTTATTTCTTGAATTTGTGAAACTTGGAATCTTGAATGTTTGTTTCCCAAGAGAATAATGCTGAAACATCCGGGGAAATGCAAGAGCCTTTCAAGATTTCCTTAGGTTGGGTTTTAGTAGGAGGGAGAGAGGTAGAGGAACAATTCCATTATTTAGTTGGATGGACGAGAGAAAGAAAAAAAAGACAAAGAGAGAGAGTTTCTTTCTGACTCACCAATGTAGATCCTTGGAGGGAGAGAGGTAGAGGAACAATTCCATTATTTAGTTGGATGGACGAGAAAAAGAAAAAAAAGACAAAGAGAGAGAGTTTCCTTCTGACTCACCAATGTAGATCCTTCTACTGATAAAAAAATTTAACCAATCCATCAAATTTTAAAACTACAAGTCTATTTTACTCTTAAAAAAATTATTATTAAATAAATAAAATGAGTAATATAATAATTAGAGAAACAACTATTATCCATCTTTTTAATTTTTCCTCACTCATATCAAATAACATGAAATATTATTATAATCTTCTCTATTTTTCTTACTCTTCGTCCCTCCAACTCTCTACATCCTTTTTACTATCCATCCCTCCCTCTTACTAAACAGGTAGGTTGTCTACTTTACAAATTACTCAGACTTCAATTATT